CACCTGGACAGGTCTTCAGTCCATCACAAGGACACCTGGACAGGTCTTCAGTCCATCACAAGGACACCTGGACAGGTCTTCAGTCCATCACAAGGACACCTGGACAGGTCTCCAGTCCATCACAAGGACACCTGGACAGGTCTCCAGTCCATCACAAGGACACCTGGACAGGTCTTCAGTCCATCACAAGGACACCTGGACAGGTCTCCAGTCCATCACAAGGACACCTAGACAGGTCTCCAGTCCATCACAAGGACACCTGGACAGGTCTTCAGTCCATCACAGGGACACCTAGGGACGATTTAGTTACCAGTCAGCCTAACGTATGTTTTTGGTCTGGAAACTGGAGTACCTGGAGAAAACCCACGCAGCACGGAGAGAACATGCAAAGGAAAGGCCACCAGCTGGGATTTGAACCGGCGACCTTCTTGCTGAGAGGCAGCAGCTCTACCCGTTGAGTCACCGTGCCGCCCTGATGTTTTATTGTTTTGTAAATTTGTGTTTGAAGTTTTAGGAAGGATTAAATGTCACGATCAGCACCGTCCTTCATGCTCTGCTGCTGATGTGTTTCACATGTTTGTTCGACCTGGTCTTGATGTTCAAACCTGGTTCAGATGATGAAGATGACACAAGACAAAACTAACATCTTCATCACTTTAGTTAGTTTCTTTCGGCTGCTTCCTTAGGGGTCACAGCGAGCGAACTTGTGTGAAAAGTTCGGCTGATTGTTTTACGCTGGACGTCCTTCCTGATGCAACCTGGGCTCGAACCTCAGGAGTAAGAGACGGCGGCGCTGACCACTGAGCTACCTCAGCCCCCCAACATTTTCATTAAACTATAGAACCACTCATTGCAGTAACTCTAGTTGGCATGGAAAACAACATTTAGCTTCAATAAGACCTGCAGGAGATGAACGTTGTACCATCTGCAAATGACAGAAAGACCACTGGTCCCGCCTGCAAACAGGAAGTGCTGCAAACAACAAGAACCTTCTCAGAGTCTAGGAGAGACCAGGCTTCGGCTTGGCTGAAGGAATTTACTCAAAGAAGCTTGTTTCACCAGCTGGAGTTTAAAGGTCAACACCGTTGGACTTTAAGGAGAAAAAGAGTCCAAAGAAACGTGTTTTACTGAAGCGTCTCGTGCACACAGACAAGTGTCCGTCTGTGTTTGGATGTTGTCCAAGAGGCCGAGCGGCGAGAAACGTTTGGATGAAAATGTTTAAGGAGCGTTTACTGAGGCTGCGTGTCAGAGTCAGCCTGCAAACAGTCGGGTCAGCAGCCGTTCGATGCCTGATCTTTGAGAACATCTGAAGGCGTCGACCCGACACCAGCAGTGTCGTGGAACAATGAAGCTGAAGACACGTGTGGCAACCGCTTCACGACGAGCGCAGCCCCAAGATAAAACATAATGACTCATCAAGAGCGGTCTCTGTGTGTGTGTGTGTGTGTGTGTGCGTGTGTGTGTGTGTGTGTGTGTGTGTGTGTGTGTGTGTGTGTGTGTGTGTGTGTGTGTGTGTGTGTGTGTGTTGAACCAGCCTGACACTAAAGCCCCCAGTATACTCCTGCGTACGTCCATACGCAGAGGTACGCACGTACGTACACGGAGATACGAGCGTACCCCCCAGGGCATGTCCGTGCAAAGCTCAATTTGTACGACCGCGTACTCTGTGTCACACAATAAACTGCCCGGCGACGGACTGTTTAGTATGTGACACCAATGTATTAATTTCCCTTCTTCATCTCTGATCTGGCCTTTTCTTTAGTTTTTTGCCAAGAGGCTCTTCTTTAATCTCTTCCTCCTCCGTTGACTCCATGACTGAAATGGTGAGAAATGGAGGAATTTGTCACGAGCCAATTAAACTCAGGTCCAGCGTGGCTGCGGGAGGGTCTGGAGATTTCCTGGTGGGCTGGTCTGATGGGTGGACTGTAGAGCCAGCGCTCTCTGTTTTTTTATTTTTTAGATCTTTTTATTAACAACATGTAAACACAGAACACCGCTGAGGCTGAGGCTGCCAGCGCTCGTTTTTTTCGACCTGTCAATCAATCCAGTAGGCGTGTCAGCAAATGACCAATCGGCGACCTCAATTTGTCCCGAAGGTGAACGCCCCTTGTCTGTGGAGCTGCTCTGCAGCTGCTCGGGGTGGACGCTGGAGTATCATGTCTGAACCCTCTGTGTACCGTACACGTACGTACGCGTGGATGGACGTACGCGGCAGCATACTGGAGCCTTAAGACGTGAACCGTCTGCACTGTTCGTTCTCTGCATGAACCCACGGGATTATTATAAAAGTTATAAAAGCTGAACGCACAGACATTTTTAAAGCAGCAGCAGTGAAGGGCACTGTTTCCTTTGTTATCCAGCTGTTACAAACAGGCCTGCAGGACCAAACATGGAAGGAGGTTCCTTTGGTTCCCAGCCCTCCTCCTGTCTCCAGGACCCCTCCGGTCCCAAACCCTGAACGACTGAGACCAAGCGCAGGTTTCTTTGTGTTTCAGCGTGTCAGACGTCCACAGTCCACGAGCTGCAGTGTCCATGTGGTCTGCAGGAAGCAGACTTCTTGAACCTGCTGAAGTCCACCTTCCCTGCGCTGGCTGCTGAGCGACCCATCGAGCCGTTCATCACGGACAGAACCAAGAAGCTGCACCCTCTGATGGTCGAGTCCTTCACTCCAGAGCAGGTCTGCAGGGCTGCCGGGTATTCAGCCCTCTACCTCCGACTGAAGGTACCGCTCACGTTCAGCCTCCCTTTGAGTCCAGCAGGCGTTGGCACGCTGACCCACCGTGTCGTCTGTTAGTTGTTAATGCAGAGAGTGCACTTTTTATTTGCAACGCAACTTAAGAAACAAACCTTCCTTTCAGCGTCCAGCAGAACTTCAGACTGGACAGGAAGAGCCGCCGCTGAACGATGAAGACGATGACTATGATGATGATTATGATGACAATGATGACTCTTCTCGCTCCACCCCACATGTCGCTGCAGCCACCACCGAGTCAGTCAAACAACGATTCTTAGCTGCACCACCTTCTGTTGCTCTCACGTCTTCACCGTTTCTGTTTTTGTGTTGCAGAACCAAGGCTCATGAGCGCGAGGGCGGCCCAGAACGGCTCATGGATGAAGATGCTCACATAAAGATCAACGTCTGCTTTCTGGACGGCCCTCAGGTCGACGCCGTCCCACCACACGGTAACTTAAACGCTGTTTCCTCTGAGGCCGCACACTTCCTGTGGACCACAAGTTTCTTCTTGGACCTGTTCTCTGTTGTCAGCGTTAAACAACGGACTGAGGGTTCTTCCTGGACTCATGCAACTCACACATTTAGCACATTTAAGTCAACCTCCATGGAACAACATGCTGCACAAAATCAAACCCAGTTTGAAGAACCCCCCATGAGAGAATAAACATCAAACAGTTCATGTCATCGTGAGCAACAATACATGAAGCCTCATGTTGCGTTAAAGCCAGCGAGGACACACGAGACCGAGATGTTTGACTTGGATCATTAAACTCTTAGCGTCCTCCCTGTGAGGCTCAAACACTCAACAAGAAACGTTTTGTGATTATTGATGATTAGAATAATTATTAATCTAATGACTATTATTGTCCCCATCGCAGATCCAAGAGTTGGAAACACTCCGTCCATTTGAACAAGACACTTTGAACCCATTAACTTTATGACGGTTCATCCACCCGCTCAAATGCTAGATTTAAATGTTTTTACACAAAAAAACTTTAGAGCTTCTCTGCTTCAAATAAAAATATATTTTTTTATGCTTTAAGGATTTTTTTATTTAAACTTCTACACTACAGGTTTTTGAAATTATGTTTTACTGTAATTTATAAAAGTGTGTTTTCCTCCACTCCCTCTGGGTCAACATCCACATCCTCTGTTCTCCAGAGCTCAGAACTGATGCTTGGTTCTGTTGGCCCAGTCAGAGGGGTTCTGGACCCCCTCCTCTGCAGAGTCAGACCTCCTAGTGGGTCTTGGTCCGCTCTTCCTCTCCTAGAACAAATCATGATTTATTTATTTATTTATTTATTCATTTCATTTAATTTCCAATAAAAACACAAATACAATTTCAAAAAATTAAAGAAAAACAAATATAAAATGAAAGGAAGCAGAAGAAGAAAATGTCTTATCATATCTGCTCCCTCATAAACAAAATCAATTCAAACCATCAATTTAAACATAAACATTCATATATAATACATCAAAATACATAACTCATCAAAATGTCATACTTAACAAAATAGACATTAATCAGTTTTATATATTGTTCCAACAAAACAGTTTTTATCTTTTTCTTAAATATAAACATTGACTTCACCATTTTAGCATCATCTTCCAAACCATTCCACAGACTCATTCCCTGTATCGTAGTAGACCGAGCCTTTAAACTGGTTCTATACTGGGTTTAACAAAAATATCTATGCCCTTCAAATTATAACAACTCTTCCTTTTTACAAAATATGTTTGAATGTTTGATGGTAGCATGCAATTCTGAGCTTTAAACATGAATAAAAGAATATTATAATCCACCAAATCATAAAACTTAAGTAGTTTCAATTGACAAAACAGAACATTAGAAGGGTGACAATAACACTTTTTTGTTATAATTTTTACAGCTCTCTTTTGAAGAATAAAAATAGGCTTTGTTATGGTTTTACATGCCGTACCCCAAACAGTGACACAGTAAATTAAATGCGGGACTACAAGTGTATTATATAGCAAATATAAAGCATCATTGTTTAATAAGTCCCTTACTCTGTATAATACTGCATTTGACTTAGATATTTTAATTTTTACAAGATTTATATGTTGTTTCCATGACAGTTTATCGTCAATAATTACACCCAGAAACTTTACTTCATTCACTCTACATATCTCATGATCATCCTCTTCATCAACAGTCTTTGTCTGACAGACTGTTTTTCTCCTTCATGATCTTCTCCTCTGTCTGAGAGGGTCTGACTCAGTGGTTCCGTCCTCCTCTGGATCTGCA